TTATCAAAAAGATAAATAACAAGACCACAGTATATCAATGGACAGTATAGAATAGAACCGAAAAGAAATAGAGTCATCAGATCAAAAAACAATAAAAATACACTTGGGATCTAGCATGGAAAAGAATAAATGGATATACATGGGACATATCTTTCAAAGACTTATAGAGAAAGAGCTTCCTCATTAAATTAACGAGTGATGAGCTACCAATTTTGAGTAAGCTGGCAATAAGAAGGCTAGATTTGTATAAGCAAGTGAAATATATTGCATGTAGCCTCCATAAAGAAGAAACAATCGATCACCTGCTAGAATGTCCAGCTTACAAGGAACAGATGCAAGAAGCATGGAATAAAGGTCTCGAAGGGATTCTAAAGAACTTTAGAGAACTCCTACAAGAAAGAAAAAAGAAAGTGGCTGAGAAGAATGTGAGACTAATAATAGAGGATAGAGAAAAATTGGAAGAAATAGATAAGTGAATATCCAGGCTGATAGAACAAGTTTCAACAACTAGCCAAGATACGTTGAGCTTTTTGCAGGATTGATAAGAAACAATCTTGTTCTCGAAATAGTAGATCTTAGATGCCATGACAAAAGAATCGAAAAAGAAGCAAGAAAATGGATAAAGAAGATACAGAGTACAGTATGCAACCAATTTCGTAAGAAGGTTTAAAATGCAAGATGCGAAAAAATTATAGAATAAAAAAGAATACAGGGGATTCAAAGAAATGATAAAATAAAAAGACCTTCAAGTCTTCCTGGTCCAAAACCTAAAACTGCACCGTCAGAAAGAAGAGGTGCTCCATTAATAGAAAAAGAAAGATTAAAAGATCAAGGTCTCACAGATATCTTATCAAAAGGGATTAGATTCAGAATAAAATGGTTGGGTTTTGAGTTCTGTCAGAATTGCAAAAAGTGATCTGTAGCAGTGACCTGTAGGCAATGATATTAAAAGTTGGAAGGGTTTTCACCTGAACTTTTAATAAAGCGAAAAATCATTCCCAAAGTTGCACTTAGAGTAATTACTGAAATAAGTGAGCTAGTTAAAGTTTTGGTTTTAGCGATTCATACTATATATACAGCTTACAATTATTTAATAAAGCACACATAACTAGCTTGACAGAGGGTTTAAAAAAAATTTTTTTAATGTTTAAATCTTTAATTATATGATTAAAAATTATCAAATTTATATATATAATATTTTTTATATTTTTTATATTTTTAAAAAAAAATTTTTATAAATAATTTTAAAAGTTTTATTATTGTTAAAAAATTTTATATTTTTTATTAATTTCTATATTATTTAAAATAATAATTAATTAAAATTATTTAAAAATAAAAATTAATAAAGAAAAAAAATTTTTAACTATAATAAAACTTTAAAAAATTATATATAAAAATTTTTTTAAAAAAATATAAGAAATGAAATTAATATTAAAGTATAATATATTATATATAAATTTTATAATTTTTTGATTATATAATTAAGAGTTTAAAATTATCAAAACTTTTTTTATGAATTCTTTAACATATATAAAAAGATGATTACAAGAAGTTTTTATATTTTTTTATTAATAAAATCTTAATACTTTTCTTAAAACAACTTGAAATATAATTTTAAAATCATTTCTATTCTTTTTTTATTGTTCATAATTTTTTACTCAAAAACTTGATTTTTAATAGTCAAGAATAGTTAAGTAACACTTTTGATATCAATGGCAAAAAAGTTTTTAAAGAAAGAAAAACTAATTATAAAGTATCTAAAGATCTTTTTAATCTTTGAAGCAAGAAGTTAATAAAGATTTTATATAGTAAAAAGGTTTATTTTTATTTTTTTAATTGTCCAAATCTTTTTAAAACTTTTATTATCACAGTTTTCTAAAGAATTTTATCTATCTCAGTTTGATTCTAAATTTTAAGTAATATAATTCTTATAAAAAATGATTGACTAAAATGAAAACATTAGTTTTGAATTATAAATATATTTCTATTAAATGTTTTGATATTATTATTAATAATTAAAAAGAATATTTTAAAATATTTGTTTTCAGAAGCTCAAGTTCTTTAATAAATATATTTATAATATTCAAAAATTAAGAGAAGAGTAATATGGATTACAAACTTTTATTTCTTATTAAAGTTTCTTATATAATAACAAAACTTTGATAGATAAAAGTTAAGATTCAAATGTTTTTTTTAAGATATCTTAATTAGTACTTATTTAAATAATGAATCAGTTAAATGGACTTATCCAATATTATAGATAATAATAAAAAATATTTGATTTGAGACTTAAACAAAATAAAAAGATTATTTCAATTAAGTAGATTTCTTTTAAGAAAAAATTGTTTTTATTGCTAAATTTTTTTAATAAGATTTGACTTGTTTTTTTTTTCTTTATTTTTTTTTTTTTTAACCTTAGTAATTCATGATTTTTGAATTAATTAACAGTAACAAACTTTTAATAGTAATTTTAGTAGATAATAATAAATTTAATTTAATTAAAATATAAAATATTATCTTTTAAATTAATCTTAGAATACTTTTGTATAAAGACAAATTAATTATATTATGAAAAGTTTATAATTCTTATTAATTTTTTTTTAATCCACAATCATATTATAATAACTTGTCTTTATTAAAATTAAAACAAAATCTAAAATAGTTTGTAGATTTTCACAATATAGTATGATTAACTTGTCTTTATATATAAATACTCTAAATCAGATTTTGAGAACAATATTATACTCTTCTGATAGATTAATTATAATCTTTATCAATCAGAATTATTATCAACAATTTGTCACTATTGATTGATCCAAAAATTATTGAATTGCTAAATTAAATAGAAGGAAAGAAAAAAAATAATTGGAAAAGAGAACAATTCAAGACTTATTAAAAATTTTAAAAATAAAAACAACCTTTTTTCAAAAGAAATTTACTTGATTAAAATAGTATTTTTGCTTCACTTGAATCTTAGAAGAAAAAAATTTTTTTTTATCATTTGTAATATTGAATAAGTCAATTCAACTAATTCTTCATTTAAGCAAGTATTGAATTAAAATATCTCAAGAAAAACATTTAAACCTTAGCTTTTTTTTTTTAAAGTTTTATTATCACCTAATGAACTTAAATAAGAGATGAAAATTTTCAATTCATATTATCTATTATTTAATTTTTTGATATTATAAATATTTTTATTAAGGGACTTAAACTTTTAGAATAAATATTTCTAGAACAATTTTTTTAATTACCAATAATAATATTAGAACATATGAATATAATCAATAGAAGTTTGTTTATATTCTAAAAATTAATGTGTTTCATCTTAATTAATCACCTTTAATGAGGATTTGTGCTACTTAAAATTTAAGGTCAAATTGAGATAAACAAAATTTCTCAGAAAACTATGAAAATAAGAACTTTAAAAGGATCAAGACAGTCAAAAAAGAAGAAAATAAGTAAGTCTTTGTATTACAAAAATCTCTATAAATCTTTTGCTTCAAAGATTAGAAAGGTTTTCAGATACTTTACAATTAGTTTTTCTTCTTTTAAAAACTTTTTTATCATTGGTATCAAAGGTATTACTTGACTTTTTTTGATCACTATAAGTCAAGTTTTTGAGTAGAGGTTTAAAACAAAAGTAAAAAAGTCTGTAATTATATTAGATTTCTAATCAATTTCTAAATAAGGACATGCCATTATAGCATGATTGCGAGTTAAAAGAAATAATAATAATAATTAAGAATTTAAAAATTTACAAAGTTAAAATTTATGATACAAACATAGTAAGTGAACTCAAACTTTTGAAAGAAGCTATATAAAGCAAGGTTTTATCAATATCAAAAAAAAAAAAATTTTTTTACAATAATAATTTTTATTATTTAAAAATCTTATGATTGATTAGTTAATTAATTAATTTTATATTAAATTTTATTAAAATAATGAATGCAAAGGAATAATGGTATTTTATGAAATAAAAATTATGATAATTACATCTAATAGTATTTATTAATTAATAAAAAAATATTTTTATAAATGTTATCGATGAGCCTAAATGTGAATTGATGAAAAGTATATATCAGTACGTAGAATCATAACAATTTAATTCAACTTACGTGCATACTTCCAAGTTTAAATCATGCCGTGAATGAAAGAATTTTTATAGAGGGTATAGTATAATTTTCTTGCGACGTGTGTTTAACTGATTTATCGTTTTTTATTTATATAAATCAATGATTTAAAAAAAAATTTTTTTTTTTTGATTCGTTAGAAAAATCGAAATTGAACACAATACTCTTTTAGTATTCTTTTGCTGAGAATAAAGCTTATGCTGTATACTTTGATTTAAATATACCATACAGGGACAGAAATGAGTTCAATAATTGTGACCTACGGTAAGTTACGATTAAAAATGTAAAAGAAATATCAGTCATTTTTCACATGCGTTAATAAAAATTTGAAAAAAAAAAATTCAAAAATAGAAATACAGCACATTACATTGTTTTTGCATATTTGATTGTAGTGTTTGCTCTCGCCCTTGGCCAACAACAAACTTTGAGCGCAAATTCACGTGTTACACACCACGCGAACTCTTTGGCAAATTTTTAAACCGGGTTTGAATCACGAATCAATGTGGTTGTTTCGATGTATAGTAAGCTCCGACGCCAATTGAACACCAAACGCTGATGCTTGCTTGGTCAAAATTTTTTCGGACCAATGGCGAATAATTATGCCGTTCTTGCTAGTCCAATTAGCGTAATGATTCACATACAATCTAATCTACCATTCACCACTTTACCGCCCATCATTCTCCTCTCGCGCCACCCGCGAAACGGAGTATTTGTAAGAACTTTGGCACGGCGAGCGCACATCTTGTTCATCTCGCATAATTCGGTCTTGGATGCTACGCGTTCAAGGGAAATTTTTTCTTTGGTGTTGTCTGGTGTAACGATAACGATTGCTGACCATTCGATCAGGACTATCACGGACTACTTTTCCGATTCAATATAGTCTTGGGTCCCAAGTGGGCATACGATTCTGGAATTTCCGGTAAATAGAACTTACGGCACGTTACATACATAGCTCATTCATGTCTTGCTGCAACATACTTTCCTTATCCTATTCTTGTTTTACAAATCAGTATTAATTGGGGAGATTGGATGGTTACACGGACATAGGCGGTGAAAAGATAGGAATACAAAGGGAGTGGGAAATGCAAAACAAAGTACAAGAATTTACACGATACATTCGAAAAAAAAAAAAAAAACAAAGGAAAAGAGAGAACAAAGAAAGATGAACTTCGTGGTGAAAAGCGGCGAGCGATATCCTTCTGTCCAACGGGTATTTGTCCGTATTCACAATGGACAATAGCTTTGTAAAACAGGAAATGCGTCAAGAATCCCGAATTTTATCACGTGATGCGCTTAAAATGTGCCGACTCGCTCTCTCTTTTCTTTCGTTCAAATTGGGGACACCAAAGTAAACGATTCCCATTGCTATCATGGTTCAAATTTAATCGAAACTTTTAAAAGCAATTCAGCATACCATTCTCTCATCACATGAGCATGAAAGATCCATGTGCTCTTCGGTTGACCATCGCATATATATTTTGAAGCAAGCATCACACCACACCACTTTGCTCAAGTAAACGAATATGGGTCACGTGTTACTGTATTCCACGAAACGCGTTTTTTTACAGGAATCACGGCATTGGGAGAATGCGGTGCCATATCCGTAGGAAAAGAAATCAATTGGTGTCCTCATCATACATACCTCATTCACTCCTTTTTATTGGAACAACAATATACCAACTTTTTGTGATAGGTCTGGATAAAGAAAATTTTACCGGAAAATATGCCGGTCCGTATACATCGTTAGCGTTTTGTCCATTTGTGGCTTCGTCGATTCCTTAGTGGGAAAAACGATGTCCAAAATGAGTCTGAATTCCGACAAGACCGGGTTCATGTGTCCGGTAGAGCACGCAGTCACGAGATTATTCATGCATCATCTAGGAATGACATTGGCCTTTCCTTAACTAACTGGTCCCGAGAAATGGTTGGTACCACTTTGCTTTGGTATTTCCCTATTTTGACTAGCAAAAAAAAAAAAATTTTTTTATTTTAAGAAATAAACGCCAGAAATTTTGGGGACCCGAGAATATTTTTAAGGACACATCTGTTATACATGTTATCAGGAGATTTCGATTGGTGGGGTGAGTGTCACGTCGGTGGCTACTGAGAACAGATAATCCAATGGTAAACATAAAACCATCGCCTATTATTCATGTCCACTCTAACATGTGAGACGCAATGGGTCACCAGGGGCATTGATCTTAAATACGTACTGACATTAAATAACATTAAATAACATGAGGCTCTTTGATATTATTGATCATATGATTAATTTTGGCGAGGAATCATGTGATCTCCACAATTTAAGCGTTCTCTTGTATGTGCAGCTAGTGGGAGAAAAGCACACGGTGTGTCCTTGACTGTACGCTCAACCGTAGCCGGTGTAATCATTCGACTTTGTCGATCAACCCCGCATCCAACCCAATCATGGGCCGGTCTTCTAACCAACTACATAGCATTCACGCTAAAACCAGAAAGTTGAGACTAACGCTAAATGAAGTTACCTAACCTAAAAACAGAGACGAGTGTTCCACCCACTCATAAGGCGCAAAAATCACACTACTTACGGGTGTAAAAACTGGTGGAATTTTTCGAAGTTGAACGAAACGGCCTCTGTATTTGTGAGAATAAAATATGCATTGATAGAATAAATATACAGTAAATACTGTAAATATACAGATGTATATTTCCTGCGGAATTCCTTGTACACAACATGACGCCTGTTCTTTTTTTCTTTTCCTTTTCTTCTAATGGTAATGATAAATCTCGAATTTCAATTTCTGGAACATGAAAGAATTCTTTTGTCCGGAAATGCGCATGTCGCTCACGGCGTCATGAAATACGCATCATTGTTAATTCGTGTTAGATTCCCACCTGAAGTCAAAATCCTATTATTATTAGATAATCATTTGCTACCAACGCTAAGCATTTCGTGAGTACGCACAGTATGCCATTGGGTTAATTTAGCTAAATTGTGACTAACCCTCGAATTTGGTTCAACGATAAGTCCGTCCGGGTTGTAAGTCAAATGATTGTGATTACAGTGTGGAGGCCCAATGTATCATAATTCCTTGTGTGGGAGGAATCAAGAAAATTAATGATCTTGCCTGGGTGCGTGCTACACGTAGCACAAGAAACGCGTTCACATCACACCCCGGAATTTCCCTGAACCCCCCTTTTTTTTTTTTGGAGGATGCCATGGTCACGTGACGGTAGACATTCGTTTTATTGTTGAACGAGTACAGTCCGCCCCGTCAGTAGAATGACCCTTTTGTCATTTGGTCTTTTCTTTTTAACTTACGGTTTCACCTAATCGATGCGACAAATGTGAGACATTTCTGTCCGCACTTGGGTCTTTCCTTGTTTGTGGTACCATGGGTACGTCGCTCACACCGGGCTACACTTCTCGTCGCCGGGCATAAAATGCGGCGTAAAAGGTTTTAGGAAATGTTTTATCTACAGTGCATATTCGTTATTTTATTTTATTTATTTATTTATTATTTTTTTTTTTAAAAAAAGACACATGTATGAGAATGTGTTTCAGAAAATAAATATGTATACGATGGTTGCAATTAGCGTTTTAATTGTATGCGTGTATCTCGTATAATATGTTTTATTGCATCTTACGAATTGGTTCTATTTGCATCTTGCGGTATTACACATGCCAAATTAATAAGTGCTAAATTGGCCTGAAAGTGAGAGGGTAAGTACATATCGTGCGTACGTACCACTGCGTAGGATACTTGTGCAACGGCGAGGTGCTCATTGGCATTGAAATTGGTCGAATTCAAATTGCCTGTGGTAAAGGGAGAAGAGAGAGGGATAAGCAAAACTGAATTTCTCTGGTGTGGACATGAATTGCATTGTCCCCATATGAGTTGATATGACTGGAGACTCGCCGGGTCGGAGTCGATTGATTACCAATTCGTCGCCTTCTGGCAGCCGAATTTGAAACGCACAGTTATCCTACAGTTTTTTCACGTGATAAAACTCCGATTGACAATTAGAACAATAGGAAAAAAACGTGTCAATGTCCGCAGTTGTCACCAAGGATTAGGCGCTCATGCTTCTTTTCTTACATTACTACCTGTTCCCAGCTTGTTTGTGGTAATTATTATTATTATTTTTTTTATCACGGGATTAACTTTTGTATTTTGTATTACTGCGTCCCTTAACAATGTGATTAACCAACTGATAATGATCGCGACATCTATAAGTTGATTGTTATATGATAAGATTGTTTGACTGTGATTAAGTTACAATCACCGTCCAATTAATGTATGCCAAGTTCGTAAGAGAAATGGAACAATGTGCTAGCATACATTGTGGATAACATGTTATGGCGACATTTAGGGAAATGTGAAATGTCGGATAATGGTAAGGTGAAAAAAGGAAGATAGAATGCGTGATGGTTGATATTCGACGTGCGAACGCGGACGCAAAAACAATTCCTACAAATCAATTTAAACATGCACACACATATCTATGCACACATCTTCCTTGGCCTGAGCACGTTCTTCACAGTATTTCGCTCAAAGCAGAAACCCATTGGAACTCGCGAAACGGGTCTCCAGGGAACTTGGAAAATAAGAAACCAATCCTAGTCGCTTATGCAAATAATCGTGCCAAAATCGGAAATGTGTCCTACGTGTTATATTATACATTGTGATTTCCTTTGTTACTTAATTTGGTCTCGGCAAAAAATCGTGTGCGATATAATACTCATTGTGTACTGTATGTACGTACAGTACAGAATAAGATCAATTTCAATTATTCAGACGTGAAAAGGTCGGAGCCGCTAGTGATTTAATTTGGCGAGAGGTTGGTTATTAACCTTGTATGCACGCTCTCATTGAACAATTCTTCTCAATCAAATAAACTCTCTTCATTGTGGAATGAATGCATCGGTAACGTTAGAATGGAAAGGAAAGATGGTAGGTAGTCTTCTATAAATAGGCGTAAGCATATATTCCATTAATGATTTTGGGGGCCACCGCCACACAACTGCGAACAGGGTGCGTTTCGTAAAGTTGCCTTGAAGCTTTTCGATGATGAAAAAATGAAAAGAAAAAAAAATATTTTTTCTGAGGCAAATCATGTGATCATGTGACCCACGAGCGGTGTTCGCCGCCGAACGTTACTCCCACACTTCACATTTCTTTTTTAGCGATCATTTCGTAATTGGTTTCGTTTTGTTTTATTAAAAAAAATTTTTTTTTCAAGAAAACTCGTTGGAAGATAAAGGTCACGCACGAAACAATTGAAATTAAGGCCGAGTCTCGTGCGCAAAATTGAGAAAAAAAAATGAAGATAATGAATTATAGTGCACTAGCGTGTTTGCATTATCACCATCACAATATAACACACACTGGCTTCATAAAAATGTATGAATAGCCATTAAGGGTGCCGGACTCCACCGCTTGGTTGGTGATTAGGTGGAGCAGGTGAATATGTTTATATATATTTATGCGTGCAAAGATTGATTTTGCATTGATATGACAATGTGCATGTATAACACGCATTGTCAGACTTTGTCAGAGACTGGGTTTGTAGGGTAGTGCTTTGCGTGTGCTATGAATGTGTATATGGGACGGTGGCGGCTGTTGAAGGAAGGTCCCTGGTTATGTGAGGCGACTGTGAGGGCGCCTCCACCCCTTTGGGTTGTCCGGGTCGCGACCAAAAAAAAAAAAAAAAAAAAAATTTTTTTTTTCTTCTTCTTCTTTTTTCTTCTCATTTCAAAACGACTTGGAAACATGAGAGGAAATGTGAGATTTGAGAAATATATATTGGAGATCTTCGTTTTAGAATAAAGGTTTATTTAATTGATTGATTTCCGTATGACTACGTAATTTCTTATGCTGCAATTCTCAGCTACTATATACGATCATGTAGAGGCGAATAATTCAGTTCAATCATTTGGTCATTTTTTGTTCTCCAGGGTAAAGAAAAAAAAAAAAAGAAAGGAAGGAAAAGAAAAAGAAAGGAGGTCATTAGCTCTAGGTTATTCGCAAATTCAAAGACACTTTTTTCCCTCAAAGCACGGACTCTTTAGAAAAAAGATTTTTTTTTTTTTCTTTCTTTATCTTCCTGTAAATGTTTAAAAAGGAAAAACATAAAAGGAAAAAAAATCACGGCATGGTTTTTTTTTTTTTTGTAATATTTAGGGTGCGTGTACGTGGAGGAAAACTTTGTATGATACCTGATTTAGTTTATTTATAATAGCGATGATCAACAATGAAGCAAGTTGGATGTTTTTTCTATATTGCCTTGTGTCTTTTTCGTACATTTTTTATTTATTTATTTTATTTTTCCTTTCTTCCGTTGGAGGTTTTTTTTTTTTTTTTTTTTTTTCACCTCAGAATTTTTTCGTCACGTTCCATCAACGCAGAACGGAAACGAACTCTCCTCATCCTCCTTATTCTCTCCCTCTTTTCCCAATGTTCGATTAAAGGAAAAAAAATAACCCGAAGACTTCGATTATCTTTGTTTTTTTTTTTTTTTGTTTTTTTCATACAATATAAATATAGACTACTCTATTCTGACAATGTTGACCTCATATGCCCTTAGTCACTTAACTTTTCGTTGCCAAACCAACGCAGCAGCTGTCGGTTTAGGTTAGTGATCCCTATTTTAGGTTAAATTTCGCACAAGATCCCCCAAATAGCTGACAACTCATTGGTCATTTTCACTGTAAAACTTCTTAAACGCGTCTTTTTTATATGGACCCCAATTTTTGGTATTAATTGGAGCCAATCTGACACTGATTCAATTTTTTCCTACTCATCACCAAATATTCACTTTGGATTTTCCTTTGCGTTTATCGACTTTCTACCTAAATGTGCCTTACCATCTGCACAAAAAAAAAATCGTCGTTATTAATCTCACACTTTTTTATAAGGGTGTTAGATTACCCTTCTGTATACCATCTTTAATAGACACTACAAGAATTTTTTTTCTTCACATATATACATTTATTTTTTCAAGAAAAAAAAAAAAAAAAAAAAAAAAATACAAACAACGATACGCACGCCCATATTTTTACACTATTTACCGCAAAGGAACGAAGCTTATGCATTCTGTCGGAGAAAAATTTATCGGGTCCTTGTCACAGTCCGCTGGTCCTTCGACGTCGTCCACCACCACCACAAACGTCGAAGAGACGGGCAGCAAAAAGAATGAACCTCCTTCGAGCGGTTCTCCGGTTATTTACTCCTCCGACCCCAATAATAATGATTCCGGTTTTTCGGATCAAATAATAAATGCACCTCATTTCACCCAGAAGATGAACGGAGATTACACTCAACGCAATGACTTTCACATGCAATCCTTCTCCACCCCTTTTCCCAAAACCTACACCGACGATGGCAGCGGATCGTCATGCGCGGCTTCTGAATTCACAGTCGAGCTAACGCACTGCACGGAGGACGAAGATAACGTGACCTCGGATGCTGAGATCATCGTTGATTCCCCAATTCCGATAACCCCCCCTCCCGTGGAATTCCTTTGCACCGCAAAAACGCCTAGCACCATATGTGACTCGGAGATGAGCATTGCTCACGATTCCATTCACGGTCTCCGCTTTCCATATGACTTTAACCATTTGCACCCTTCAAATTTGATCTCTTCCAAAACGACATTGCTCTCTTTCAATTCATCATCCATCATGACGACCGCTGCTCAAAACGAAATTCACAGACCCATCACGAGATCCCCCTTTGCGCAAGATTCATTGGATAATTCTTCTTCGCGAAGATCATCCCCCGACGCCGTCGATCCATCGCCATCACCGTTGCTGTTACCATCACCATCACCACTGCTATCGCCATCACCGCTACCGTCGTTATCATCATTACCCTCGCCATCACCATTTCTGTCGCCATCACCATTGCCGTCGCCATCATCCTTAATGTCGCCATCATCCTTAATGTCGCCATCATCTTTACTGTCACCATCACCATCCATCCTGATGAAAGATGATGTAGGAGAAAGAAGGAAGCCACGGCGCAAGCGAACACGCGATGAGTACGTGGCCAAGTTGAAGCTTCCGGTAGATGGGATTGCCACGCGGCTTCGTCGTAATCGTAGTTCGACGACCGCAGGTGCTGCTCCTTCGCCGCCAAAAGAGGTTGGTACTCTGCCTGCTAAAATTCAATCATCACAGTCGACGGTTGTTCCGACCACTCCCGTACCCAAATTCACTCGTGGCAGGGGACGGCCACCGAGCCAACAGGTGCCCTCTCGTCTTACTGCCAAGGAACGCAAGTTACAGTCATATTACGAGGAACGTGCTGCTCCAATACCTAAATGCGAACGTTCATCGCCACCGCGCATATATCCGCAACCCCTTATGCATCCCGTACTTTGTCACAGTCGAAACACCGTGGATGCAGACCGACATCACAAACTCTCTGTGGAAAAAACGGAGAACGACAAAAGATCAGAGGAAAAATTACGATGTCAGACGTCATCGACTCACGGAAATACTAAGCATGCCGTGGAGGATGGTAAAAATGTTAAGCCCACCGGCTCCTCACCTCCTGTCAGACCTGGCAAGTCGGAACTCTCATTTCTCCTTGAAACGATCGATTGTAGGATAAAGGAGGCCCGCGAGAATCTAAGCACAGCCGGAAGTGCAATTCAGTGCGCCAACCTTCTCTACTTTGACACAAAAAAGAATAGAGGCAGTGGACTTCCTACCAGATCCGGTTCATCATATAACATTGACCATCAAAAATATTCCTGCATCAGCAACGGGATGACAGATCTCTCCAGTGCTTTTGCAAATTGCAAGATTCGCCCGAACAACGGTTTGAACAATAGTGCCGGGAACAATGTCGCCACTACCCCTAATACTAAAAGTCTTCAAGTCAAGCAAACGAACTCGCGCGATCGAATTGGAAGCGTTTGCGACTCACAGAACGCCAAAGCCAGTGTGGCGCCCACAGGTGTTTCCGCATCGTCCCGACCACCGCCGTCATATCGCAGTAAACAACAAATTCGCTCGGAATGGAGCGCACGGCAGCGTGCTGGATTCCTTGCCATCTACCTTTCTCACGGAAAAGATTTCAAACGTATTTCCGCAAAGGTCCAGAAACCCCTGAAGAAGGTCGTCGAATATTATTACTTGACCAAATATGACCCTGGATTCAGAGAGGCCAAGAGAATGCGGCGAGAGGCGTTGCACAAAGATGAGGCGATAGAGAAGTTGGACTGTTTCATAAGAAGGCACCAAAAGGAAGCGGATAAGATTCTCGCGAGAAGGAAACAGTCGACGGAGAAGAGGCGCGGTCGTCCACGGAAGGACAAGAGAAAGGATGATGAAAAGGATGATGGGGAACAGGGTGAAGACTGAGGGAAAATGGGCAATCTTTGGGGGGGGAATGAATGTTACGGAGGAATCGATGTGTCCGTCACGATTGCGTCTTTCGGTGATCGCTGATCCCATCCATCATCATTATCATCATCATCATCACTTGAATGCCACCACCACATAAGGACTTGCCCTTTTATTTCTTTCATTTTTTCTTTGCATGGAATCTTCGCCACGCAGCATTCTCATTTTATTCCGTCGGTGCTTCCGATACTTTGTGCACAAATTATGTCATGGGGATTTATTGTATTTATAAATCACACCGTTTCTCTGTATAGTCACCATTATACAACGGTTATTGTATGATTTTCAATTTGTAAATTTTTTCTTTCTTTTCTTTTCTTTTCTTTTGTACATATTTTTCACCATCACACATCCAGTGTTAATTGTTTGTCATGTATACAAAATCTAGCCTTATTGACGTGAGTTGTAAATTTTTATTCTAAAATCATATTTTCTACTATTATTATTATTACTCGTCCTTTTCTTCTTTTTTTTCTTTCCTTTTCACAAAATCCGATGTAATTCTTATCATCTAAAACTAAAATGTCGGTGGGAATTAATCTGATGGTATCGTCTTATAGAACATTATCTTAAAAAAAAAAAAAAAAAAAAAAAAAGACGGTGATATCAATTTCCTTCAAAAGAGAGAGAGAAAGAAGGGAGGAACTAGGAGAGAAGGAGGTGGTTATATTTGCGTTGTCGGGAAAGTGGGATCGTTTCCTTCACTACACGTAGTCGGGGGGGGCTTGATCTTTCTTACCGAACAATTTTTTTTTTAAAAAAAAAAAAAAAGAAAAAAAATGCGAGGAAATCTATCACGACAATTAGTAGATTTGTCGGCACATAATATTTATTAGTTTGCATACCGTACCGTATGAAACTCCTCGAACCTAATGTATGGTTCAACTTTATTTTAATCATTAATAAAAGAAATTGAAATCGTCATTTGCTGCGTGCGCGCGCATAAGACAGCTAAATGTGAAGCGGGTGAATGTAACTTCTGGTGGTGCCCCAACCTTCGACCGATGAAAATGTGCATGGTCAGACTATTGTTTTCTATTTAGGAAATTGAAAGTATGCAACTTTCTCGATGAATGCTAGCATCTACGATAAAATCTCAATTAGTAATCTTGGAACAGGACAACCTATAATCGATCAACCATATGCCCTTCCAGGATTACATACGATCGTATAATGGACCCAAAGGGCGATGAATAGAAAAGAAGAACGTCCGATGGCATGTCGAGTGAGCAAATTCTCAAACATCACATAATGCTCAAATAATCACGCGTAACGTGACACGCGATCTGTCACCAAACCCAAACGAGGTCAATTCTTAAATTACAAGAAATGATCACATTCATACGTATGCACGGCATGTACAATACGTACGCTTCCCTCATTCCTTTCCTCAAATGGCAACTTGTTAAATCTAACAATAACGGGTCTGCTGGACATAAAACGAATCCGTTTTGATGTTATGTTGGAACAATACGTCTGACGGGCTTGATTTTGATTTTCAGGTGGGTGTCTGATTCCGAACATTCTATGAGAGATGAAGATTTCATCCGATTGTACGTACAGTACGTACTGTGAACACGTATGACAATCATGCCGTGCTTACACATACGAGGTACATTGAAAGCGTTTCGGGGAAAAATGTTTGCGGGTATTGGTGAATAAAGAAATGATATGTTCGCAGACATTCCACAAGCCATCGGTATCTCGCGTGTCGAGGTTGCCTTCCGAATTGGAAGGTCAAATTTCGTTTTTCACGTATCATGTGACTCGTGAAACATCAGATGACGTACCGAGGCGCTCGATATAAATTTTTGACGCAGCATAGACTTGTCATTATGAAACTTGCTTTTAACGCAGGTACCTTCCAACTCTTCACAAGATTAACGCATTTCTCAAAATCCCAGTGCAATAATTTTCGTGCATACGTTACGAGCCAACCGAACACGCCTTACTATAAAATGTCGACGACCAAGAAACAACCGGAATGGCACATCCCCGCCTCGGAGGAAACAGTTTCGGTCCTTAAACTGTATAACTCCCTCACGAGATCCAAGGTATCCATCGTTCAGCCTTTTCCCACGGTGCAAATCAATTGAGCTTTTGTCAAAATTTTCACCCCCAAATTTTAAGGTCGATTTCGTTCCAAAGAATGACAAACTCGTGAAATGGTATAATTGTGGTCCCACGGTTTACGATGCCTCGCACATTGGACACGCCAGGTACATTCAGTCTGCTTGCTTATCCTTCCTTACATTACGGGAACCCATTGTTGATTCACTCTTTTTTCTCCGTAGAGTATACGTCACCGTCGACATAATTCGCCGTATATTGACGGATTATTTCAATTACAACGTACTTTTCGTGATGAACATCACTGACATCGACGACAAGGTTTTTTCTTTTTTCATTTTTTTTTTTTTTTTTACCAAAATATCGATCACGTGTCACGTACCTCAGCGATCATTGTTCGTTCGTCGCCAAATAGATCATCCTTCGAGCTCGCCAAAATTATCTTTACAATAACCTCAAATCGTCCACCGATGCGCTCACATCCGAATTGATCGAGACCGTTCGTACCGCGTTGAATGATTTCGCAAAGACCAAACTCGGTGTGATTGCGGGCACTCCTATGGCCACCGATAAAAATGATCCAAAGTATCTCTTGCATGCCAACGCATTCGTATGTTGTCAAATCCCCTTCTCGTTCGCGGTCACTTTACGCAGTCTTCCCGAGGTTACTCTTCACCATCATTAATTGTGCATGAATATTCTTTACAGAGGGAAACTGTGAAAGCCGTTGCGGCAGCCGAAGTGTCGCTTGAAGATGTGGACACAGGTAGAGAAGTCGCCCATAAATTGTTAGACGATTCGTATGAAGTCATTGTTGCGTGGTTGGACAAGGAGGTAACTGCCAAAGGAAAGACCACTTGGAAGTATATGTACGTGTGATGAGTTTACAATGATGAGATTCTGTTCGACATTAGAAAGGCGCATCGGTCACGGACCCGAAGATCTTTCGCGACTTGGCTGCATATTGGGAAAAGAGTTACATGGAGGACATGAAAGCATTGAATGTGAGCGGACGTTATCTCTATGCAACGTGAAAATTGAAAAACGAACGAATGTATCATCGAACGCTTTTCTTCCCACATATCGATAATAAAGGTTCTGCCTTGTGATGTCTTGACACGTGTCAGCGAGTATGTGCCAGAAATTGTTGAGTATGTCAAGAAGATTTTGGAGAACGGCTATGCGTATGAATCCTATGGATCGGTCTATTTCGACACCAATGCGTTTGACGGCAAAGACGGTCATCATTATGCCAAGTTGGAACCCTGGTCAACGGGTAATGAGAAACTTATCGAGGAGGGGGAGGGAAGCTTGGGAAGTAAATTGGCCGGAAAGAAAAACAAGAGTGACTTTGCCCTGTGGAAAAAGAGTAAACCGGGGGAACCATCTTGGGAGTCACCTTGGGGACCGGTGAATAATTACCATCGCCTCTCTCTTCTATTTACAGTCATTCAAAAATTACTTTAATAACACGGGAAACTGTTTCATCATCACCTTACGTAGGGTCGCCCCGGATGGCATATCGAGTGTTCCGTGATGGCAAGGTACAATATTACACAGGGCGTCTTCTTGGTTTTCACATATTTGTTTAATTCATGTATTCGAACAAACGTTCTATCAGCGAAGTCCTAGGCGAAAATATGGACATTCACTCGGGTGGAATTGATTTGGCGTTCCCGCATCACGACAACGAGCTGGCACAATCGGAGGTATAAATAAACAGATCGTGTGCGTACGCGACCACCTTCTGATTCGTTTGAAAATCGTTTTAATAGGCATATCACGGGTGTCATCAATGGGTCAACTATTTTATTCACGCCGGGCATTTGAATCTTGAAGGCATGAAGATGAGCAAGTCGCTGAAGAATTTCATTACCATTCAAGTAAGTTTGCATTGTCGCTCGTTCACAAAAGGGTGATCATGATAATAACTTTATAAACGATGTCGTTATCGAATGTTACAGGAAGCGTTGGAAAAATACAGTCCTCGACAGATTCGACTGTTCTTTCTTCTTCATCAATGGGACGCAAAGATAGACTTCAAGGATTCCAGCTTGGTGGAGGCAAAAAGCATCGAAACAATTCTCAATGTTTGTCACACACGTCTCTATGTTTGAAATTTTTTATTGTTATTTTTTTTTTAATCTCATCATTTTGACTTGATGGACCACCTCAGAATTTCTTTGTCAACGCCAAGGCCCTGATAAATGAATTCAAACTCTCTGCGTACGAGTCCGATGGGAAGCATCGATATCGTGGTCCGGAGAAAGAGATCATAAGTCTGTGAGTGGTCTCGGCGTGCATGCTCTCTCTCTCTCTTTTTTTTTTTTTTTGCACACCAATACATAATAATATTTGACTCATTATCGGAAGGTTCCTCGAGAAACAACGAATCATCCACGCCGCGCTTTGCGACTCCCTCAACACGCCGGTCGTCATGCTAGAAATAATGGATCTAGTGAACAAGACCAACGTCTATATTTCGGCCGGAAGAAATAGCATAAATGTAAATGCGGTTGAACTAATAGCGAGATATGTGACGAAAATGCTTAGAATATTTGGTGTTATGGAAAGCACGGCAACCGAGGAGATCGGATTTGGCACATCGGAGAAACAAGGGATCTCCAGCGTAAGCGTCTTCTTTCTGGCTCAAATGTTCTTCGTCGCATACCTCTAAACGTTTCTTTTTTAAAATCTCCATAGAATGAAAAGGAGGATCTCATTCTTCCCTATCTCCGCGTTCTATCAGGTTTTCGTGACAACGTTCGCGAACTCGCTCGACAGAAGAAAGCACACGAGGAATTTCTGTTGATCAGTGATAAACTGAGAGATACCGAGTTGGTAGATCTGGGTGTGTCATTAGACGACCAGGAAGACGGCAAGGCTTTGGTTAAGTTGGTGGATAGGGATGAGCTTATCAAGTCAAGAGAAGAGAGACTAAGAGCTCAGGCTGAAAAGGCGGCCAAAAAAGAAGCGGCAGCGAAAGCAAAGGAGGAGGAGAAGAGGAAAAGGCTGGAACAAGGAAAGATAGATCCCGAGATGATGTTCAAGGAGGCCAAGGATGAAGAGGGTAAAGATTTGTACTCTGCATTTGATGAGATGGTAAGACTATCTATCGTTACATGACACCGTCATCTTGGATTTGGTGGTTCCGAATGTTAAAAAAAAAGCGAATTTACCATTCGAATAATCAGGGAATCCCGACCCACGATAACAACGGCGAAGAACTTTCCAAGAACAGGGTGAAGAAGTTAAAGAAAGAATGGGAGGTCCAGAAAAAATTGAACGCCGAATATTTAGATTGGAAACAAAAAAATGTCTCCGAGCAGACTTAGAACGTAACGACGATGGATGGATCACGTGTTCATAACTCATCACACCCTAATTGGGTCATGACAAAATGACAATGGACAAATTCCCATAAAAAGCTTGTGCTTGTAAATCCTATGCCTAGATTCTCCTGATAATCGATCGATTCATTTCAATGACTTAACTTTTGAGTGGTTTTTCTTTTTGAAATTTTCTTCCAATTAAGTAGTGAAAAATCGTTCTTCCAAGATAATTTTGAACTAAATAAAATATGCCACGTAAAATACCAAACGCGAATCAAACAAAACCGGTGAACACCACTAACGCTACTCTGTTGAAATTCTTTTCGCCCGTTCAAAATGCGTCCAAGAAGGAAGAAAAAAGTAATTAAACACCAAAATAGTCGTGGTAAAACACCGCGCGCCTCTTCGAATGTTGTAATGTTGTACCGCCCGGGCTACCTAACTGTTGTATTAACTTGCAATTTGCATTTTCGGGTTAGTTTCACATAGTGATCCAAAACTTGCGTCGTTTTATGCACACTTTCCACCCTTCGCCGCGAGGAAGACTGTGACTGTGGCACCTATAAATCGATTTCAACATCCAGTGTCACCAAATTTTGACGAATTGGTATTTGGAAATAAGCAAGGTACCGGCCCGAATTCTCCCGAGCCTTGTGAACTAACGGAGTCACAAAAGGCAGAAGAGTCAAAAAGATACCTCAAAGAATTTTTTTCAAAAGTGAGACCGGAATTACTTGGAAAACGCGGAAAGAAGAATGTCATATCGATCAAAGAGTTGATGCATCAGTCCGTTTTGACCAGAACGGGAAGTGCCGTGGACGCAATGGAGGTCGACAGTGATCCGAGTCACGTGGAAAAAATGGATTGGCTAAAGACGGGGAATGATAAGGCGACGGTTAAACGAGAGATGACCGAATTATCGGTGGATGACACGTTGAATTTGCTGAAGGACAGAAGTAGAGTTTGGATGAAGTTGCTACAATTCGGGGAAAATTATCGCCCCGCCTACTACGGTATTTTTCGTTCGTTAGAGATGTGCGGTACGCATTCCACTTGGAGAGTGATTAATCCCTTTCGACATCGCAAAAAATGTAGGCACCTGGACAAAAACTAGCAAAAGGATATCTGGGCGAAATCCGTTTGCCAAAGACACTGATATTTTAGATTACAGCTACGATAGTGAGGCCGAATGGATAGAAGATGAGGGAGACGAGTGCAAAAGCGACGAGGAGGAGAAAGATCCGGAAGATGAAGATTCCCAGGTATAGAAGTTGGCCGACCTGTTATGCACGGAATTTTTCACCGAGACAGACATTGAACTCTCAATTTTATCACCAGGACGATGACTGGATCGTGCCCAATGGTTATCTATCCGAAGACGAAATTCAAGAATCAGACGAATCCTTTTCATCTCCGTCATCACCACCTGGTAAGTTACGTTCGTTACACATGTATATTTGCACCCGATACTACTGAATGAGAACTTCATCTTCGCCCTGAAAGTCAAGAAACCGATGGGAAATGATAAGGTCAGAAGTTCTCGATATTGGATTTACATTGTCAATCTCATCTAATCACATCCATCCTTTTTTTTTTAGCCAAAAATAATTGATGCATTGCGCCCAGTGGTGATCGGGCCGATTTTTGAAGAACACCTCGGGGACTCGGATCATCAACTGAGTGAATATGGCACAATGTTTCTAAATGGTAACAAATACGACGCATTGTACCGTCACGTGACACAGGGACCATGATCATTCACGTTTTTTTTTTTTTTTTTCTCACATCAAGCGGGCATCTCGACGCCTTACAATGTCTTCGCCGGCCCACCAATACAAATTCATTACGCAAGCACAACTAGGTCAGTAGGACAAAACAAAAGAAAGGCAAATCCCGGTTGCAGTGTTGAAAAGGAACAGTCACCGACCAGTATTAGACAAAGGGAAAAAGGAAAAACGAATCGTAATACGAAGATCGAAATTGATGAATCGAAACAAGCGATGGATTATACATTCATCAATGAGATGGTCATATCATAAACGTAACTAGAGATCTTTGTTATCTTGTTTAATTGGCATGTATGGATAATCAGATGGTAAATGAATGCGTTGGCTTTTTGATGATTTTAAATAAAGTAATTTCACATTAAAAAACATAATTTTTGTAATGTTACACATGTATTGGCTGGTTAGAAAACCTTTGCATCATGCCCAAACCCGCACGCCCGCACTAATTTTGGCGCATCTATTGACACCATTACTGAATTGCCTCATTGTACTTTTGAACAAAAAAAAACACGCTTTTTACGTAATAATGCTTTTGATTTTTCTGCCAATTTTTACAAACGATAATATCAATTTCTATTAAAGTTAATTTTTTTGCTTACGATTGCTTTATCGTTATCATTAAAAACTTTATCGAAATTTGTAACGATTATATATTTAAATATAGTTTTTTAAAATAAATTATATTTATATAGATTAATAGAATTTTTTAAAGAATTACTTAAAAAAACAGAATATATATATTTTTTCAATAATTATACAAATTAAAATTGTGTCTTTATCTTTTAACCTTTTTCCGGCGTGCAGATTAATAAAAATAATCGCAACGTTAAATTTATATTGCGCAAAAAAATGAAATTATATACTAGTTTAATAGGATGGAATAAACTCTTCTCGATATACTGTATAGAGTATACCTGCTCGCTTTATTTGGGTAAAAAAAAAAAAAAAATGTGCGTATTATAAAGAAATAAATAAAGTTCAACAATAGTTGTTTCCAAAGATTTGATAAAACTTTTGCTTTGATTCTTAAAAGAAATACCTTGTAATTTGTTATTATTTTAATAAAAAAAAAAAAAAAAATCGTTTGTATCAGGATTATATTAGTATATTGTATATAATAAAGAAAAGCTTGAATGCAAAATCTTTCAAATATTTGGCTAATGCACAAAGTAGATATCTATTTTTATCAAGTCTATCTAAATCTGGAAGATTTCAGTCATTAGTATCAATTATATATAATTTTAATTCAATTATATTTTTTTGAAATAGAACAATAATATTTTTATTTATTCTCTATATATCGATAAACTAAATATCAAGTCTTAGAAGTATATAATAAACTTTCTAAGCTAGAAGCTTTAATTATAAGTTTTTTTAAAAAATATATATATATATATATATTTTTTTTTTTTTAACCCGCAATCATGCCACAATGGGGTGTCTTTATTGAAAAATTGAAAATGAATTTACAATATTTTATAGACTTTCACAAAGTGACTAACTCGTCTTTATACAAAAGTACTCTAAGTCAGATTTTGGAGACAATATTTCACTCCCCTAATAGATTGGTAATAATCTCTATCTATCAGAATTATTGCCAATAGTTTGTTACTATAGATTGCCCAAAAACCAATGAATTGCTAAGTAAAAAAGGGGAAGGGGAAAAAAGAATTGGAGAAAGGGGACAATTCAAGGCCCACCAAAAAAAATCCAAAAATAAAAACAATTTCTTCTCAAAAAGAATCTGCCTGATTGGGATGGTCTTCTTGCTTCACTTGAACCTCGGAAGAAATTTTTTTTTTTATTACCTGCGGCATCGAACGAGTCAATCCAACTGGTCTTTCATTTAAGTGAGCACTGGATTGGGATATTTCAAGGAAAGCATTTAGACCTTAGCTTTTTTCTATTAAAGCTTTGTTATCACTTGAGGAACTTAGATAAGAGACAGGAGTTTGCAATTCACATTACCCATCGCTTGGTCTTTTGGTATCATGAAAGTTTTTATTAAGGGACTTAAGCTTTTTTGAAAGCAAATGTTTTCAGAACTTTCTTTCTAATCACCAATTATGTCATTGGAATATGTGAATGTGATCAATAGAAGCTTGTTTACATTCCAAAAACTAATGTGTTTCATGTCAACCAATCACCTTTGGTGAGGATTTGTGCTACCAAAAATTCAGGGTCAAACTGAGATAGGCAAATTCCCCAGAAAACCATGAAAGCGATAGCTCTAAGAGGCCCAACAGTGACTGGAAGGATAAAAATAAGTCCTTCTGTCATCAAAAACCTCTATATACCTCTTGCTTCAAAGATTAAAAAGGCCTTCAGGTACTTCACAGTCAGTTCTTCTTCCTTTGAGAACTTTTTTGCTATTGATATCAAAGGTGTTACTTGACTTTTCTTGATCACTAGAAGTCAAGTTTTTGAGTAAAGAGATTTATAAACAAAAGGGAAAGGGTAGAGATAACTCTTGAAGTTATACTTCAAGTTGTTTTAATGAAAGTATTAAGACTTTATTAGCAAAGAAGTATAAAAACTTCTTGCAAACATATTTTTTGTGTATGGTCAGAGGATCAGTGGAAAGAGTTTGAGGTGATGATGAACTTTAGTCCTTTTATTATATCCTAAATATCTTTTTTTAATAATGTCCAGAACATATTAAAAATATTATATTGTATGTAATAGTTTTTAATTTGATAGTTCAGACTATAGATGGTATTATGCTTTCTATTTTTTGCTAAGATTTTATATCTTTTCTATTTTTTTTAAGGCTTTTACCTTTTTAAAAGTTTCTTTAATTATAAAGCTTTTCTATATTTGACTAATTTAGGGCTATATTTATTATCTCTTTTCTTATGTAATATAATATTTTTTGATTTGAGTTTATTAAAGGCTACCTTATACACTTGATTTTCAAAAACTTCTCAATTCTTGTTTATATATATATTTTTTTTTTATTTTTTTTTAATTCTCTTAAAAGAAAATAATCTAATTTTGTTTTAGCTTGTAATCTAAATTTTTATGATAAGTTTATTATTGTTTTGATAAAAATCTTTTTATATCAATTATTCTTTTATTTTGTTTTTTCTGTTTGATAGCCAGACTTCTTATAAAGAAGTTTTCATTCTGCAAGATAACTATTAACATAATATAATCACTCCCTATAACTTATATTTCTAGATTATTGAATTAGATATTTTATTAAGCCTTGTGATATCTAGGTATAATCGATTTTACTATTACTTATTATATTCTATAATATTGAGATTTTATTCTTGCCTTTTCATATTGTTTAAATATCTATAAAGTCTCAATTATCAAAAAGTTAAACAATAGAATTATAAGATACCAAGAAGATTTAAATTTAATATTGAAAGAATATTCTATCATCAAATAGATTGTAGATAATATTGAAATTACCTATTACTATAATATAGAAATTTTATTTTTACTTTTTCTTGATAAGATTAGTTAATTTCTTTTATACTTTTTTGCATTGTTGTTTGTCTAATGGAATATACACTAGTCAAAAAAAAAAATTATTTGGCATATTGCCACTCATGTAACATTTAGCAAAAAATAATTTAGTAAAAAATGATATAAATAAATTAGCAACTACAAAAATCAGCATATTAATATTTTGTTAAAAAATTCATAAACAATTTGTCAAATAATTCAATAATAATTAATTAACAATTTGATAATAATTTATTAAAAGTTCATCACAAAATTATTTATTAACAATTTAATAAAAATTCAGTATTAATTTATTAATAGTTTATCAAAAATCAATCAAAATTTTGTCAACTATATATATATTTTTTTAAATTTTTGGTTAAGCACTAGTGGAGTCAAGGCTCTACATAAATAATCCTTAATATTAGTGATGCTGAATACCCCAGGTGAATTCTTGACACACTAATCTCCTCTTTTTGGAATAGCAATAAGCCACTCGGTGGGTCAGTTAAGAGTTGTATCCTAGGAAGTATCAAGATATAAAATAGAAAATTAACATAATGTCAGTTTCATACTTCCTGTTATTTTGTGGTTTGTTTTTATAAGTAGATATCTATATTAGATAGTTATATAACTATCTTATTTTTTTTTTTTTTTTTTTTTTTTTTAACCCTCTGTCAGGCTAGTTGCGTGCGCTTTATTAAACAAAAGTAAGCTATACATTTATACAAATATGTGTCGCTAAAGCTAAATCTACAACTAACTCACTCGTCTTTGTCATAAGTTGACTCTAAGTGCAACTTCGGGAGTGATTTGTCGCTCCATTTACAGTTCAGGTGAGTACCCTTCCAACTATAAATATCATTGCCTGCAGGTCACTACTGCAGAGTTATATAACTATCTTATCTTGATTGGATAAGACATAAATAGATAGTTTTCTATACTATTTATTAATCTATAAATCCTTAGACAGTATAGGTAGTTATTTATTTTAGTTGTCTCTAAGTTTCTTGCTTATTTAAATAAATATCATTCATCTCGATACAAGAATGAGCTAATATTTAAAAAAAAAAAAATTATAAAAATATATAATTATTAATTTATAAAAAAATTTAATTTTTTAAATCTTTAAATAATAATAATTTTTTATTTTTTTTTTTGAGTACCCATAGTTAGGTTAGATTATTGATTTATTAATTAATTAAAAATATACTGTAAATATATTTTCATTTGAGTATAATACATACTATAGCTAAACTATTATTCTAATTTAACTAACTTATTATAAGTATAAAATTTCTAAGTTTAGTCTTGAAAACAATATTTTACTTTATAATGTTTTTGGATAAAAACCCTCCTAGTCCATTACATCATTGTCAGCAAGTTGTTACTACCATATATTGATTCAAGCTACTGAAATACAGGAAACTACAAAATAATAGGTTGAAAAAAAGAAAAAGAGGAATGTTTAAAAATATTTAAATAGACAATAAAAAAATGAAAAGGAAAAA